ACAGCTGCAGCAGTAGCAGCTGCCATTGGAGTGAGGACAGCCAAGTAGGTAAGACTCCTCCTTGAAGTTTGTGTTGCAACAATTTATTTCCAGGTTACTTATTAGGGCAATGGCTACATTAAAAAAGACATGGCCTGCAGACATGGGACTTGGGTGGCATTTTACAATGTGGGGCTTTGGCTGAAGGTGCTCTCTGGATGCTGGTACAGAGACAAGTGGCAGCAGGGTCTTAGCACCTGTTCCCCTCAGAGCTGAGGTGGATCTTTCTGGCCTGCAGCCAGAAAAGGTTGCTTTACCCGTTTTGGTAACTTCAATGTTTTGATTACTCAGTGGCATCTTAAGGATCTAGGTTTTTTGTATAGGTTTCTTGCCTGAAAGTATGTTTATAAAGCTAATAGCTTTTAGAGCAAGAGGCAAAAGCTTTGGGCAATTAGAAATGTTTCAGACAGTACTGAGATAGCTTAAGACATGGTTTTCAACCTTTTTCATTTGTGGACTTCTAAAAAACTTCTAATGGAGGTTGGAAATTTTGAATGGAGGTGTGAACCGCTTTGAATTGTAACTGTAGGTATTCAAATGACTATGATCAATCAAAAGTATCTTTTGCAGACCCCTTAGACATAGACATAGTTTGCATACCCTCAGGGGTCCACAGACCACAGGTTTAAAACCACTGGCTTAACAAGTAAGTCATAGATACTAAAATCTCTGTCATTTCCAGTTGCCACTTAGAAAGCTGGCTAGGTCTGTCTTCTTTTGAAACCACTGAAACTGGCTCAATACTGTATTCCAGAGGTGTCAAAGATATGGCCTACAGAACCCCATCATCCAGCCTCTGGTACTGCCCCTGGGTCCAGAGTAGACCCACACAGAACACGCACCAGGCCAGCCCCATGCATAGGGCTGGAGATGCATGCCCCATGTGGCACCCCTCAACCCCCCTGCCTGCTGCTCCAGGACACATGCTGCATGCAGCATCTGCCCCAGCCAATCCAGGACACATGGCACACACAGCAAACAGTTCTGGACTTACACTGCATGCAGGACCCCTGCTGGTTACTCTAGGGTGAACACTGCATGCAGTGTGGTTCCCAGACTGGTCAGAGCAGGAGCTGCATGTAACACACATCCCAGACTGGCTGGGTCTGATTCCATTTGTAGTGCACATCCCAGAGCACCCAGAGTGAGTGCTCCATGCACTGGATCCAACATGGGGAAGGTCTCTGTGGGCTGAATCTGCCCCATGGGACCACCCACATGCCATTCATCTGGTCCATAGACTGGTCCAACACCACTCATTCAGCCCCTCAGAGTATTTGAATTCCAGCCTGATGTATTCATGCCAAACTTGGAAGTGAATTTAAGATTAGTTTGTCTCCTGTTGACCAAACATTGACTCTAATCTTGTCTTGATTCTAATCTTGTCTTCCAAATCTTTCACCAATGTTTTTCCCCAGGTGGGGCCAGTAAGACAGTTTGGTTTGGTTTCTAGGCTTTGCTGCTAGTATTTGGGGAACAAAAACTAGCTCAAAATTACACTTTGAAAAAGAAAAGAATTCCTTTTACAGTAAACCTTTTCAAAAGTTTATTATGGAAGAACTACTTTTGGACCTTTTATATACTTCTCTGGGGCTTTGGTCTAAGCTATAGAACATAATCTGATAAGGCAAATTGAATCAGTAGAACACAGATGAAGTCTAGCTTTATTACAATAAGTAAATCCATCTAGTGGGTGAAATAAAGGGGGAAAACTGTATGATAAAAATCTGGTCATGGAATATATGAGTTCTGAGCCTTATGCAATTTTACCCCCAATTTAACTTTCTTACTCTCTCGTAAATATTTTTTAAATGTTGGGGTTGCAGTGGGTTTTTTAAGGCTGGAGGGAGGGAGTTGGCTGCAAATGTAGGTTGGTCCAGTCTGTTGAAGAATGTTTTCAACTCCAGGTGTGTAGGATGGAATGGGAATAATTTCCAGCTTTTCTTACAGGCAGTCAGGCCTATCCTTATAAGAGAGTGCTTGGATGCTTTTGACACAGGAAGCTAAAAAAATAGAAATCAACAATGTGTTCTGTTAGATCCCCAGAAACAACCAACCAGTGCTTTATACCATGAGTGGTCCATAGACAATAGTAGGGGTTGGCAGCGTTTTTGGCTGGAGCGCCAAAAACACCTCAACCCTGACTCAAGCTTTAACTTGGCATGCCATGGGCAGACCACGGGGGCTTTGTCCCCGCAACATATGCATGCATGCCACAGGGTGCATGGCAGGGGGAGGGGCCTGGGGCAGAGCAACCCTGTCCCTTCTCCTACTGTCCGCCCAAAGGCCCTTGTGCAGCAGCCACTGACACGGAACTTGGCAAAAGGCTCCAGAGCCTGATGCAGCTGTTTGTAGCCTCCCAATTGGCTGCCACTTCCAGCCTGGGCTCTGGGCAGTTGTAGCAGGTAGCCAAGTGGCTGCAAACAGCTGCTCCTGAGCCCCGGCACTGGATCCATGGCAACAGCAACTGCACATGCACCTACACCTTTGGGTGCCAAGCTGTGGCACAGGTGCCAGGAGTTGCTGACCCCTGGTGCATAGTTTGATAATCACAGTCTCCCAGCTGGAGTTTCAGCATCTGGGCAAACTAACAAAGATATCACTACATTGGTAAAGAAATGAATAATACTTCCATGTATGAGAATTAAAAGTTACTTTTTTAAAGAATTAAACTTTCCTTTTTTACTTAGGGACCCAGTAAGGAAATGATGTGGCTCTTTAGATGGCCTCAGAATTTCATTAGACATGGAGACCTCTTTAAAAATGAGGTATATAGGTAGCAGTGTGTGAGGAAGTGCTTCCCTGTACTATTCTTCATACCAATGCTATTAATTTCCCATTTTTATCAGAACTAAATTCACTTACAAAATATTAAAGAAAAAACAGAAAAAATTGTGACCCTCTCCTTGTGATTTGACTTAATGAAATGAAATGAAACTGCAGTTTAGATTGTAAATTTGTGTTCTGTTTTTGTACTGTGCTTACCCAAAGAGCCTTCAGTTGTGATTGGACTCTTGAGGTTAGTATCATAATAAAAATAATAAATAATAATAGTCTTCAAATCCCAGCTGTGAAACTGTAGTGTAAGTTAGCCTGCTGGGATTGTTCAAGTGCATGTCATGCTGCATTGTCCCTTTGCTTCTCTGCTCGCTTCATTTTTTTGAGCCAGCAGGGGATTGGAATTGATGAGAATCCAGAGCTGGAGTGCTTTAGACTGCGAAATTCTTGTTAATTTCAACTCTGCAATTTACAGTGTCAGGTTCCATACAGCATCTTCACTTTTATTATTATGAGTTTTTGTATCCTCTGTCACAAAAGAACCAGCAGTTAAGACTTGTTTTGTTTAGGTCACTTAGTTTATTGTCTGTGTTTGAAAAATTGTTGGCTGTGTTTGAAAAATTGTTGGCTGTCTTGTTCAGAAGCCAGTAGTTAAGAGGGGAATATTTGTTTTAAACATGTATATTTCTTGAGAAACTGTCTTTCTGAATTAGGATCCTATAATCTTGGCATTAATCATTTTTGTAATGAAAAGTACAAAAACTAGCTTTTAGATTTTGTTGTTCCCAGGATTTAAACATTTTTGGAGATGGGAAGGTTAAGTGGACAGCATGCTCTTGAAATTGCAGTCTCCAGAATTACATCACTGTTTGGTCATCAGATACATTATGCTAGCGAACATATATTCTGTTTTGGACAGTTCTTTTCTGAAAAGCAGCAAAACCACAAGTGATGCTACTTATTTTGAATTTGTCCTGCAGATGCATATTTTTGTAAGAAGAGGAGCTCATTATATAATAGAACAAATTATGTACCATTTTGAACAGAAAAGAGGAAAGTAAAATGAAAGCTATGTGTTCCTAATTGCTCATAATATTTGCTAGCTACAAACTGCTTTGAGAGTGGGAGATGTTAAGCCTGGCAGGTTTATAATATAATCTAGCAAAATAATAGGTAGTGATAGTCTTCAAATATTTGAAGAAGGAAAGTGCCAAGGAGGATAAAAAAAGGGTTTGTGATGGGGAATGGAATATAACTTGCAGTAGTGGAATTAAGAAAAGAAAAGCTTAGACTAAATATTAGGAAAACTTTCCTACCAGTGAGATCTCTTTAACTGTGAAATAGTCTCCCAGGAGAAAATGGTGAAAGCCCCATTGCATAAAACTAGTCTGAATTAAATACTAGACAATTGGCTCTGGACAACAATTCTACATTCACTTCTGTGGGATAGGCTATGTGATAATTAGCCAATGATCTAACAAATCTTTTCCTTCTTAAACTATTGTGATCATTCTCCTAACTTTGATAGTAATTTAAGGTTTTTTTGATTCTGAAAACCCATGTATCCTTATCCTGAAAAAGAAAGCAGATTTCTACTTTGCTGGGTGATCTGTAACTTACTTATCCCTATTCTACTTATCCCTTCACATATCTATATCTATAGCTATATCATCTATATTTTTGCTTGCTTGCCTTTGCTTGCTTTCCCTAGTTTTTTAGATAAATAGAGGGTTAAAATTGCCAAGTGTCCTAGAGCTGGATTTTTGTTAGTTTTGGTAATGACTACTCACAAGAAAGAAGAGGGTGGAACACAAGAGGGCTGCATATGCACATTTGCTAAACAAAACAAGGTTTGTCCAGTTTTAGACCCACAAACCATAGCAACAGCCTTTTCACCAAGGATGGAGGTAACTAAGAAACTCATCCAGGCAGTTTTTATTTGAAGTAAATGCAGTCATTTAAAAAATAATTTTAACTCCCTGTAGCTCAATTTTATTATATGTGAATGGGGCGAAATTGTATATATGTACTTTTAAAACAATCTGAAATGAACTAAAATAAGAGAATATTCTATATTATCAATAAAGGCATATCACTTGATAGTTTAATATGTGCTAAGTGGTTTCACTCTTCATTATCATTTCTCTGCAAAGTGTGTTCACTGAAGTGCATTTGCTTTCCAGCTTGGTGTTTTGTTTCTATGGAGAATAGACCAGCGAGGTCGAGTGCAAGGTCCCCCACTGCTGAAACATGAGTATGGAAAACATCTGTCTCACTGTATCTTTCGGCCACCCCCTCCCGGCGAGTAAGTAACATTAGCTAGTTAGGCTCTGGAACAACATGTCTTCCTCTGTGGTAGGCCTGGGGTTTTCTTATTAGTCTGTTGCATGGAGGTTGTATAGAAACCTAGACAAACACCTTCTAGGGGCTTCTATTTACAGTCCCAACCATAAGTGATTACTTTTTACCTTAGATAACCTACACATGTACCTGAGGTGACCTCCCTTCTTTATTGTCTTCCCATCCCTCTTCCTCTTCCCCTTCCATGCAGCCACTGTTTCTGCTCAGAACTTTACCTCTTTCATGTTTGTCCTGTACTTGCATGCTGCTCTCAAGTCATCTATCCTTTGATTTTAGGCCCCTCTTTGATTCCCCCACTGCTACCTTATTGTACTCACCTTCTGTTTTGTTTCAGATGCTGCTCTCTGATGGCTTTTTCTTTACCTTTCAGTCCTATGTTCTCCTTTTCTCTCTCATGTCCAGACACACTCTTGAACTCTTTCCTCTACCAACTGCCTTTTTTCCTCCCTTTGAATGGCTTATGCCCTCATCCTTTTCTTGATTTCACATTGGCATTGGCATGTCTCTTTTCACCTTTTGAGGCTCTCCTCCCCATTGCTGCCTCCCTCCCCTTCCTCTGGTACCATGCTTTTCTCCTTCCTCTTGTAATCAGGGTTACCAACCCAAGATTTATTTTTTTTTTTTACTGACAATCGGCAGACTTTTTACTGACAACTAAACTAAAGTACCAAAGTACTTTATCAAAGTAAAAGAGGGTTTGGTTCAAATGTAGGGGTTTAATACCAACCATAGAAAAAAGTTTGGCTGTCAGTAAAAAGTTTGTAGATTATTATAAAAAAGTCTTGATTTGGCAAACCTGCTTGACTACAGCAATGATTTTAAACCATGCTGCCCCCACCCTAGGGGTCCCCAACTCACCCCCACACTCTGATATCCAGCTGAACCCTGTACCATGCTACAAACTTCCACCCTCCACTCCCTCCCAGCATTACCCCTGCTGGCACTGATCCCCTGTTCTAAAACAGACCCCAACCTGCTGCTTCTTTTCCCCTGTCCAGCCCCATGGCTCTGTCCTGGCTGCACCACCCCCATCCCTGGGATGTGGGATAGATGCTGCTGCTATGTCTTTCCAGCTGTCCCCTGCCTCTAACAGCTGCTGATCCAGCTGTTAGAGGCAGGGGACAGCAAAGCCCTGGGAAGAAGAACTTGCTGCAGGGTGCTACATTCCCACTCAGGCACCTGCTCTGCTCCGCTCCTTCTGCTCATCAAGCTCAATGCTTCTTAGTTTTTTACAGATAAGTTCCATTTTTTTCACAGACCTAACAGACACATATTTTTTGCCCTAGTTTATATGGGCTATCCATAAATTCATGGATACTTGGCAACCTGGTCCTGTTGCTAGCCCTATTCTTTTCATCTGCCTAGACTCATATTCCCTTTCTCTTGTCAATGCCTGCCTCCCTGTTGCTGCTAGCTCTTGCTTATCTCATTCTGCTAATAGGCAAGTGTTAATTTTTAGGAGGAATCACAAATACACTAATAGCTCAACTGCTTGAGAACATGTTACAGCAACGTTTATATAAAAGTGCCTATTATCTGTAAGTAAAAAAGGATACAGTTGTAATATTAGGATGTTTGTTTTTGTTTTGTTTTGCCTAGGCCACTTGTCTGCTTCATCTCCCTGTGGTGACGATAAAGCCTAAGAGGAAAAATAAAATAATGCAAATGAACACTAATATCAGAAACCTAAGTCACTATGTGTTTGATGATTCTGCTGAGTTGTTGTGGGATAGATTTCCTTGCCATAAATGGTCACCCCATGTCACAGAGTCCCCATCCTTTTTCTTAAAAGTAGAAAATTCTGTGCTACTTAGGGAGTTGGAAATTAAATGCCTCTTGGTTGCCTGCAGGGATCTGGTACAGTTGGCAAAAGCTGCAGTGAGTGGTGATGAAAAAGCTCTAGATATGTTTAACTGGAGAAAAGCTGGAATGGGAGTGCCTCTGAAAGTTGGACCCCAGGAGGGACTGTCTTTCTTTATCAGCGTGACAGATGGTAAGGACAAAAACAAAAAACACCCATCCAAACACATATCCTGTAGCCTGCTGGGAAATGTAGTTTCTGTAATATCTTCATAGCTGTTCAGTGTAACACAGTCCTCTTTCCCACCAGTGTTTTATATAAAGTATTCTTAGTGCCTATTCCTGTTGAAGTGAGCGGGAGGTTTAGAGCAGCATTGGATATATGTTGTCTTTGAGATAGACATACCTGGTATCTATAAATTAGGTATGATACCTTCAGGTGTGGAAAATTGCTCATTCCAGGTGATGACAGGAAGATGCATTGATTCTTATATTTCTGTTTTGCACAGATGGATTCTTCTTTTAGGGCCAATAGCCCTGTTTTCAGCTTTGCTGCAAATTAGGTGAAAAGAAACTACCTCTTTAAAGGAATTAACAAGTAATAGTTAGCACATACTGTTTTTATTTCCAGAGAGAATGTGACGGTTATATCTAGCATCCAAAAGAATTCAAAGCACCTTTCCCTCCCCATCTTTACTTACAGTATACAGTTTTTTTTTTCTTTACTCATTCTTTCTTTGTCCTCATTGCTCCTTTTGCTCCTTTTTCTAATCCTCTCCCCAAGGCCAGGGACAAGAAAAAATGGTTCATAAAAAGGTGAAGAGTGTTTTGAAGGGTAGGTTTCTGACAGGTGAATTGTAGAGTGTTGCCCTACAAAGCAAGATAGTTAACCTTGGGGATCTAATAAAATTATCCTAGTCTCTCTTTCATCATCACTATAACATGATTCAGTCTGCAAAGCTTTGTCTACACTGGCAAGAGAGAGACCATTAGTTTCACACTAGCATGGCTCCATTTGTGGTAGCAATTGTAGAAATGGCACTTGGATGTGGCTTAGGCATTTCAATCACTGTATAATTGGATTTGTTGATATAAAATGTCATTCTTTAATTCAGCTAGATTGGGTTATTTGAGATTAGTCATACTAGCAGGGTTATGTTCACTGTGCAAAATAGCATACTATTTCATACTATTTCTTCATTAACTAGGTCAGGGATAGGTAACCCCCAGCACGCGTGCCAATTAATGGCACACAGAGACATTTTTCCCGGCACTCTAGGAGGCATGCAAGGAAATTGTTTTAAAAAAATTCTTTTTAAAGTTGCTGCTCCTGGCTCTCCTGAGCAGCTACAGGTCCCAGCAATGCAGCAGGCACCATGGAGAGCTACGGGGTGGAGCGGGTGGGGAGTTGGGGCTCAGGCAAGCACAGTGCAGGGCTGCTGTGTTGGAGGCTCCCAGCAGCGAGCCCTGGGTCCAGCTGGGGCTTGGGCAGGTGGACGCCCCATCCCACCTGGACAAGGGCAGCACCGGAGCACCAAACCTTGGGACAGGTGAACAGGGAAGGGTCTGGGTGGTGTGGGGAGAAGCAGGTGTGGAGGGAGGCACCACAGACAGGCTGGCCTGGCTGGCCTCTTGGGAAGGCAGGGGTTGGGCAGGAAGTGGGGCTGCCCCAGGGCTCCACAGGCTTAGGTGGGTGGGCAGGTGGGCTGCAGCACCCAGAAGCCCTGAGGTGAGGCCTGGTGTAGCCCGCAGCGATGAGGTGCAGCTGCCCTGCTTGCGAGGGGATGCCACTTGGCCAGGGCAGGACTCTGGGCTTGGGGACTCCCGGCTCCAGGCTCTGCTTCCCTGCGCACTGCACAAGTGGGGTGGAGCCACCTCTGGTGCAGGGGCCCAGCTGCGGGAGCCCCCTGGGGCCCAGGAACAGCTGCCACAGCTGCCCTGGCCTGACTGGGCCCTAGCCTTGCCCACCTGCAGCTACCTTCCAGGGGCCAGGGCCAGGGCTGGGGTCAGGGCTGGGGCAGGTGCTACACAGGGCCACTGCATTGCAGGCCGCCGGCTGGCTTGGCCTTGAGCACTGCCTGTAGCAGCTGTTCCCAGAGCATGTGGGGCTCTCACAGCCAGACCCTTGCACCAGCAATGGCTTTGCCCCACTTGCACTGTGCCCGGTGTGCAGGGAGGCTGAGCCTAGAGCTGGAAGCCTCCCGACCTGGCATCCTGACTTGGCCAGGTGGTATCCCCCCCATAGTCAGGGTGGTTGTGGCCCATCCCCGCAGAGCTGCATGGGTTGGGCTGGGCTCAGGCCCCTGCCCAGCTGTCCACTGTGGTCCAAGTCTTCAGGATCCTGGGGCAGCCCCCCCTTTCCACCTGGCCCCACTCTCCTCCAGCTGCCACCTTCCCAAGGGCCCAGCTGGGCCAGCTTGTCTGCAGTGCCTCCCCCCACACCTGCTTCTCCCTGTGCCACCTGGACCCTACCCTGTGTGCCTAGCCCTGGCACTCAGCAGCCTGGTGTGCCCCTGCCCAGATAGGATGAAGTGTATGCCTGCCCAAGCCCTGGCCAGGCCCTCCCTCCCAGCCCTGGGCCTGGGCTCCCCCCACTTTGGGACTATTGGGGAAGTCTGAGCACCCTGGCCATGGTGACTGCTGCTGGCGTGTTGCTGCCTTCTGCCAGACACTGCCCTGGACCAGCAGGCCCAAGCTGCAGCCAGTAGTGGTGGGAGTTGTTGGCAGCAAGGGACACTCCCTCTTTCTCTTTTTCCTTTATTTCTCTCTTCTTGTTTTTTCTCTCTCTCCTCTTTCTCCCTTTCTCTCTTTTTTCTTTTATTTTTTCTTCTCTTCTCTCTCTTTTTCTTTTTTCTCTTCTTTTTTCTCTTTTGTCCTCTTTGTCTCCTTTTCTCTCCTTGTTTTTCTTTCTCTTCTTTCTCTCTTCTTTTTACTCTCCTTTTTTCTATTTCTTCTTTTTTCTGCTTTTTCTTTCTCTTTTTTTCTCTCTGCTTTTTTCTCTTTTCTTTTTACTTTTTTCTTTCTCTCCTCTTTTTTCCTTTTTCTTTACATATTTCTTTCTTTTTTCACTCTCTTTTCTCCTTTTTTCTATTTTTTTCTCTTTCCC